GGGGTGGGGTGGGGCAGATGTAGGACGGAGCAAAGGCTTGTCTGGCACACCCACTATAACCCAGCCACTAGAGACATTTATTCCTTTCTCCCTTGCTTTAGCTCTCCATATTTGTCATTTAGCCAAACTATCCATATTAATAACTCCTATAAAAGATAGAAGATTGCCTTTATTGGCTGTGTAAAGGACAAAGTCCAGCTCTGGGGCTATAAAGAAGGTTAAATTAAAAAATACCTACAATTAAAATATAACACCATCACCTTTTGCTGGCCAAGTTTTAAAAGTGGTTTCATCCTGATCTAATTTTGAGTGCTGTGACTAGGATTCTGATTTAAATGGTGCTAACTGAGCAGCTGGAAATTTAGCCTTTTAATTTTGCAGATAAAAAAAACCACCACATGGAATGTAAAACTGCAATATCCTAATTGCTTTTTTGGTTTCCATTCTTTTTGGCAGAGAACAACCGAAAGTTTCATTTTTTTAAATGAAAATGAAAAATGTTTGCATGCAGCCATAGAACATAGTTCCAACCTGCCCTGCAAATTAAAAATGGTCCAACTTAAAAAAAATAAATAAATATTTATTTTGGATTGGACTGTTTGGCTAAATGACAAAATAAATAAATAAAAATCAGCAAGTAACACAGAAAATATTGTTTGCGGTCGAATGCAGCTCAATGGACCGATAGAGTATCTGGTGTCTAAAGTAAATAGAGAAGGTTACAAAAATATTAGTTCTACCTTACATTTTTGGAAAAAGCTGTATTCTTTACTACTGTAGCAATATTAACTCTTCAACTAATCATTGTAGAACACACTACTAGAGAGTTAGCTTTTTTAATTTCAAAATTTGCTAGATTCTGATAGCAGAACAGCATCATCACTGGTAAGATGAGAGCACTTCAGTCAGACCGCTGTCACCTGAATAGTAGCTGCCAAGTACTACAAGGGAGGGTTTGCACCTCCGTATCTACTTCTGAAAATCCTTCTCAGAGGCTTTAGGCTTCAATTCTGTTTCCACCGATTTCCTGTCTGTCAGCAAGACCAGGTCTATTCTGAATAAGGATTATCCATCTTTCAACTGAGTTGCGGATAGTTTCAGTCAACTACTTTCCAACGGAAACTGTCCTACTAAGTCATTAGGGGCTTCTTTTTAAAACCCGTCCTATATAACCGTAGGGAACTGAAATGAAACAAATATAACTGCAGTTTATGCAAAAGGCTTACTGTTCAAAGTCTAGACAATGCATGATCTTTCTCTTGACTGCACTCTTTCTGGTTAACACAGTTGCATGGTGATGCTGTTCAAGGGGAGCACACCGTGAATTGGGAACTGGGATCTTCTTTGTCTTCACATTTTCTGTCTTTCCCCTTGTTAACACGATCCTCTACGGACTTCTTAGAATGCTTTACAGTAGTTTTAGATGGTGGCTGGGACAAAAAATAGCAATTAAAGCATAAAATAGTAACCCCTGGCATAAGTGACAGTGTGTAGCACGTAAAAGAATTTTGCTTGGCATGCATGCCTTGGGAAAAGCCAGGGTTGTTCTGCCACAACAAGGATTGGGCCCCTCTGCCACCTGCCTCTGGCACGCCAACACCTTACAAGTTAAGGTTGCAGGTATTTTTGACATTGCCTTAAAACATTGCTGACCCCTGAGAACTAAAGCTATTTTGTCTTCAAATGGGAAAAAAGATAACAAGTGGTTCCTCAGATACTTTTCCCTGCGGTAACTTTTAAAGACACCCAGGTCTCAATCTTTTACCACACTCATACTAGCTATGAGATTTACTTTGCCTGGCTAATCAAGGTTTTTAAAAAACAATTCTGTCTTGAAAGTGGCAGCGTATATTAGAAATAGTTTTCTCAATCCCCAATTTACTTTAATTAAGCTATTTGATCAATTAATTTAACTTCAGAACACTTACATAAAGCAATTTGATGGAGGACTGTCAGAAAACTCTCACAGGAAACCACTAAATTTAAGTTGTGCAAGTTTTAAACTATGACTCTCAAAATTAAAACTTCTTTGCTCTCAGATTCGTAAATTAAGTTAATCAAAGACAATGTATATGCTTCTGAATGTAAATGCAAAAGATCTCAATTGTAATTATGATCATAACGTCTTAAGTGTTATACCCTTAATTATCAAGCACTGTACCTGAACTGGTTCCACTCCTGAGGCATCTTGAGCTGCACTGCTACAGCTGACATATCTTATGACACTAATTATTCCCTGAATAGCAATGCGCCTGTGCTCCCTGTAGTGCAAGTCTTCAAGCTCCCTCTCCATTTCACTTATGGTTTTCAAGACCGATTCAACTGAAAAAAAGCAATTCCCACAAACTTAACATTTTTAAAGAAATACAGTCCCACCAAAATGTATGAATGCTGGACACATACAAGAACACTGAAAAGATATTGTTGCTAAACTTAAAACGTCAAATTGATCCACAATTGAACTTTGGAGGAATTTCCCCTTCCATATCATTTGTAGACTACTTGAAGACCAAACCTTTTTAGTCTGCTCAGAAATAATATCAAGTAAATACATAATTATAGGCAAGTAAGTTTCCATTTAATATGCTGTGCTGAATTTTATTTAACATCATTGCACTTTATGTTCTTCAGTACGATGAGTTTTTTGAGTTTGAAGATGGAGTAGAACAGAACATCTACAGTGCAAACTCATAAGGACAGATTCACAATCTATGTGAACCGTTATAGATCCACTGTAGTTAACATAACTATAACAATTTACATCAGCAGAAGGTCTCGTCTATCAATAGCAGCTATGGAATCAATTTTTAAGATGCATTTGTGTAACAATTAACATAATGCATTTCCTGACTAAATGCTCTAGAAGGAGGATCCAAAAGAAAGTGGGCATGCACATATAGGGGGTGTTTATACCTTTATTTATACTTCTATTGTTTTTACAGTATTCCAGAAAGGTATTTGGCAATGGTGGAAAAGGGTAATATCCACCAATGACAGCTTTCTTCATAAGATCAGGTTTGTTTTGAGTTTTAATCCATGTAATAAAGCTTTTCACCTTCGGATCCTTGGTATATGGTTGACCTTTGTGCCACCCTATTAAAACAAGAGATTTAGGAATTAAAATAAAAGAATTAACCAGGTCACTTCAATTGGCTTCTATCTACAGAAAAAAAAAAACAATCTTTTCTTTTCTCTTTCTGCATGCGTCTCAGAGAGGAAATCTAACTACTTTCCTGTAACTGCTGAAACTTGACTGGTCCCAGGTTTTAATCTATCCAATAAGACTTAGATACATTAGGGCATGGGGGGAAAAGAGAAAACTTATTTTTTTTAAGAAATAGAAAACTTAACTGTACCCTACCAGGGACAGAGTCCAGAGGATTTTTAAAATTGCTTTTCAGTAAAATGGAAGGAGCATGACAAGGTATGCAACAACGTAATAGCTGAATTTACTATAAAAGCAGACTGCTGTTCTTCTGTATCAATAAAACTCACAGAGATCTATAACAGCTCCAGGATCTCATTTTCTAAAATGGTAGATGTATAACCATATACAAATGTATTTGTTTAAAACAAATGCATTTACCTGTAATGAATATCTGACTCTCATTCGATGTTGTAAGGTAAATGAGTAAAGGACGTTCAGTGATGTTTCGTACCATTCTCATCTGTGTACACACTAAGCACATCACTAGAGAGAGAGAAAAAAATTCAGTTGGTAATAATATATCATTAACAGTATTGCAGTTTCAAAGTTTTCTCATATCAAAATGGATACTAAAAATAAAGATAGCTTAGCTCCTGGTTCTACAAACCCTGAAATATATGCTTAATCTTTAACTTTGTGTTAAGGGATTGCCATGTGGAATCTAACTGGATTTGCAGTTGTTAAAGATGCAACAAGGATATCCTGATGTGTGTTAAGCTTATGTGCGTGTGTGTACACAAGATTAGGGCCCTAAACAGCTGTGATACGATTAAAAGTAAGTTTACTTGAAAGATATAGATACGTTTTTCTCTCTGGAATGTGATATTCAGGTACAGATTAATAATTAGGCATAACAAACCACCCAGATGCCATAACAGTGTTAACAAAAAACAAGCCCACTCTTTCATTAGGCTACTTACGAGGTGCATTATAATAATTTGAACTTTTCCAGGGATATTAGTTTAGTACCCTACTTGATTTATTCACAAGAACTTAAGTCTTCATGATTTCCCCAGAACATTCGAAACCATCTGAAATCCACATACTGTGTTAGCCCCTAGTTCCTATATTCTAGCAATCAGAGCTGGATGTGAAGAGCCTTTTTTTTTAATGATTAAACATTTGGAAGGCAAGAGAGAGGGATGCACTGATTCTATATAATGTGGATTAAAGGATTTCTCTGGAACGTGACAGACCTAGGCTCAAGTCTTTGTTTTGTTCTGAATCTGGCAGAGAAGGGACTTGAAAACGGGTTTCCAATATGAGCTCCAGAAATACTAGGCTATCAGTTATTCTGGTTAGTTTATTGATTGGTCCTTCTCCGTCTTGGTTTTTTCCCATGAACATTTTGGAAAGGTCTTAATATTACTTTTCTACTATAAACAAAAAAAGAAAGCTTGAAGCTCAGAGGGCATTGCCCAATGGAAGAACTAACTAGTTCTTTATTATCAGGTACTGGGAAGAAACAGCCAATGCAAACAACTAGAAGTAACAGTTAAAAGTAAGGTACAATTTTACATTTGATTTCACTCATTTTCATGTCAATTAGTTTGAAAAAGAATGTGATGGTTAAAAGAGGTTAACAGTTGTGACACCATTCGTCACAGAAGCCCTACCAATCCATACCCCTTTCCCTTAACCCAGAAACACAGCAGTGACTATTTTATGAGAAATAGCAGTTTATTTCTTTGCCCCTAGCCATGAACTCTCATCATGCTCCACTGGTTAGAGCTGTAGTCACTCACATCACTGATGTTTCTGTGATGCATACTAATCACTGTTGGCAAGGGAAAGAAAGTGCTATTGAAGGTGGTACAGTTGGACAAAAAGATGCATCAACTTCAGTCATGTTCAAAGCAGAAAAGAAACACCAAATACTAAATACTAGAGAATATAAAAATTCCTTAAAAGCTGCTGCAGTCAATGACATGAAAACAATTAATCATACCTAGGAATAAAAATATTCAGTTCAGTCTTTTTAATGAGAGCAGGATAAATAGGGTCTGGATTATCTTGACTAAGCAGTTGGAAAAGATATTCAGAAATATATTAGCCAAGTCAATAGAATTTTAAATAAAACAGAGTATTAGTACGTTTCCTAAATTGCCTTTCAACATGCTTTATCCTTGACATGAAAGTAGTCCCTGGAGTGAATATGCAGTTAATTCCTAATGTTCAGTCAATTCTTAGACTTTGCTAGGATTGCTGATGTGGGTAAAAAGTGTCATTGCAGTCTTTGTGATATGGACTCTTACCTACTAGGGGTCTAGGCTAAAACCATAGACTTGTTTCATACAAAAAAAGTCTCAGTCTGCTCTACGTACAAATAAGCAGCTTAAAGATGCACATGCTTCATATCCTGCTACCAATCCATCACTTCAGTATATGGTGCAGTTAGATGAAAGTTTTAGATGAAAATTTTCAAACTTGAGTGCTCAAAAGTTACATGTTCAAATCTCTATTTATGCACAAAATGAAGTGCTTGATGTGTACAGCTGTGCTACTAATGACTTCAGCTGAAGTCTTACCAGTATATTCTCTGAAGTCAAACTATGTGTATTCTCTCTATATATAAGAATTCTGACAATCATATGCATTCTAAAAACAATTAGAATAAAAAGAGAGCACAAAAATTCTAA